TTACCTCAAGTCCTCCACATTCGCCACACTCTTTGTGAGAATGTTCTTCTCACGGCGAAGTTTCTTGATTTCAAGTTTAAGCAGTCGAATATCTTCCAGCCTCTGTCGGTACTGAATCTCACCTATAAAAACAAAACCCAATTAACAAAGAACAACTTGTCACCCCGTTCAAGCATCTACAAGGAGACGCTGCGGATATCAACATGGTATCTGCGAGTAAAAACACTTGGTTGCGAATTGCTAGTTGCATTAGTAAGAGGATGCGCTGACGGTTTTTTTTTCAGTACATAAGCTTTAAGAAGACTGTATTTTCACTTGGAGGCTTTCACGGTAGAAAACTTTAATATAACGGCACATTGCTGTCTTCATCAAAAAACAGGTGTTATGCATTGACTGGGTGGAGGCGTGTGTGGCCGGCCGTTTAACACTTCGAACTCTGGATCTGGAGGTTCTGGATTCAAACCTCGCCCGTCGCGTTGTTTCCTTAGACAAGGAACTTTACTCCAGTTTGTCTCTCTTCATCCAGGTGTATAAATCGGTACCGGCGACATTCTGCTGGGGGGTAACCTTGCGATGGACTAGCATCCAGTCCAGGAGTAGCAATACTCCTAGGCTTGCTTCATACTACGGAAACCGGCCGTGTGGGCCTTTGGCTCGTGCGCACCTTTACATATGCATCGACTGGAGACAACAATGTCTATATTTTAGTTTATGTCAATGGTCAGAGGCGGTATTCAAAAGGGTATTAAGAAAAACGTACCTTTGTTGAGAGTAGACTGTTGAATCTTTATCTTTTCATATAACAAGGCTAACTCGTCATTTCTTCTTACAAGCTGTGTTCCCAATATATCCCTTTCACTAATCACCTAAAAAAGAGTGACAGGAGTCAGTACATACAACGTGCAACAAGGGCCATACAAGAAATAGCCTACGAGCAACTTCTCCATTTGCGGGAGTCACGAGAAGTCACGCGAGAGCCGCACGCGAAAGGAGAAAAAGTGTGAGGGGCGGGGCCTCTGCTTGCAGGGAGTAAGAACCAACCTGATCAAGTTCCTTCTTCTGTCTGAGTCTCTCAGCATCAGCTTCTGATATGATCTTCAACAGCTTCCTTTCCTCAACCTCTTGTTGTTCAATGTAAGCCTTGGATTCCGCAGCCTGTTGCTTCATCCGCTGCAGTTCAGCTTTCAATGCATCCTTTTCCTTTTCAACTCTCTGATGCTCCAGATGTTCCTTGACAAGCGCCGCTTCTTTAGCCATGATTTCCTCCTTCAGTTGATCGATCTGGTGGTTCATAATCTTCAGTTTGCGTTTCATCTCGGTGATCTCGTCCTGGGACTCGATAAGGTTCTTGCTGTACAGGTTGCGATCACTGCGCACGGCTTCGTACAGATTCTACCGATTAAATACATATCATACACATCATCATCGCCTGCTTTTACATACAGTAATGAAAAAAAGAAAATCTAGAACAACAACAGCAAAAAAAATGTATCAAACTAACACACAAAGATGGACTGAAGTTTCAAAAGGGGTCTTCTACTCCATTTTTCAAGACTCCATTTTTCCAACCAAAGAAACCGACACATTACTTCGGGGCGTAAGAAATAAATCACCCAAACTATCACATCCTTTAATGTATGCCAGGGATATTATTACGTTTTTTAGCCGGTGTACAGGGGGTGAGGGGTAGTAACATGAAAATGTTTATCCATGAAATATAAAATCCAGTTTCCATTCCATTATCTCCTTGGGATAAGCTGACTGCCATTACCAGGCATATCAACAGAGCTCAGCGTTACAATGTAGTCAATGCATACACTGTATGCGGATCTCACTGCCTATGGATCCCTATTACAGAAGGTCTTTTATGAACGTACACATTTATTTCAGCGGCAATTGCCGTAGGTCTTAAAGGTTACAGTTTGCAAACTTCCTCATTATAAAACTAACAAACGAAGTGTTAATCCTTCTCAGTAAGAGGTTCTTTTCTCCTACAGAAGCCTCCTGCTCAGGTTACCATGGCAATTCAAGTAGTATGAATTAAAACGCACCTGTTGTTGCTTCAGCTTCGTTTCAGCCTCAGCGATTTTCTTCTTGTAATCAAAGATTTGCATCTCACGGACTTTAACATCCTCCATGTGCTGTAGAACCTTCTGTGTCAGTTCGCTGGCTTCGTTGATGTAACGGTCTCTCTCCTTTTCCAGTTGGTAGATAATTTTGCGTTGCTTCTGTGCTTCATCTTTGTAGTTCTGGAGTTACGAAGTGATTAAAATGTTTAGGCACGAAAAGGGCGGTAATGATAACAGCTAAAATCATTCAAAAGACTTCAAGTTATGGATAGAAGACAGCAGGATGTTGTGTGAAGTGACAACGGCTACGCCAGGTTCACGGGGTCAGCGACAGCTTTATACTTTCAAACAAAGTCGTCAAGGGGAAATACTGCACATCACAGACCGTAAATCCTAAATTAAGCCCCCGGGAAGGAGGGAGATGAGGGAGCTTTCAAGAGATGGGGCTTAATAACTTTCCTTTCCTGAAAAATGGGGATTTTTTGGGAGGGGGCTTAATAGAGGTTTCACGGTATCTTGTTTACGGCTCACACACACAAAGGTTCTGTAAGAGCTACCGTACGAACGTTAATCTTGACCAAAGTTCCCGAGAAAACTATGCTGTTGTCTGTACAGAAAAAGTATATTCCTTACGACTGTATTCTCACCTGAATTTCTTGCTCTAAGTTTTTCTTGGTTTGCTCGTGTAACCGTACAAGGCCGAGCTGCTTCTGTGTAGCGCCAGCTGCTTTGAGAAGGTTCTGCATCGAAAAAGTCAAATATCAAACAAGTATTAGAATTTATAAATACTAGAAGAGAAAGCAAAGCTTTAGGAAAGATACAAGGTACGGACATATTGACCCACCTTATTAAGGATGTCTCGCTCACGAACAAGATCGTCTATGGCCTTCTTATCGGCTTCAGCCTGTTTTTTGCTTGATTCAAGTTCTGGAAAAAAATGTGCGTGGATGTTGAAGTAAGGGAACAAAATAATACATTCAAATTCACTACTTGTCTTGTGATAGGGCAACGTTAGAGAGCAAATGAATTGTGCAAAAATATCGCCTATTTTCGCTTAAATTAATCACGCAGTACCACACTGAAATGTTTCTTTAATGACACATTTTTTCTTGCGACAAATACATTTGTATTAATTTTGACGTCATATAAAAATCAAAACGAGGGAAGATTAACCGAGAATCATACAGCTTGTATCCCGTAACTTCGCCTCATCCGGCACCTTATCTTTGTTCACAGTTTTAAACAACGATCGCTGAATGAAAATGCCTGCAATCTGACACAACACCGATCCAGTCTTATTCACAACCTTAAAATGGCCATTAAGGAAGGCTTAATTAATTCTACATGGCTGCTACAATCTCTACGATTGCTTGGATCAGAACTTTTTTCAGTATCACAGCGATCATATATGCAACCAGGCTGCAAAAATCTACCACGCTTATTTTCAAGTCATCAATAAGTGGACGGGTCTATTTGGTATGTACTCCTTCTATTTCCTAAAACTCCCAGAAACATTCTCAAGTTTTAATACCTTTTTCTAACCCTGCAATCTGCCCCTTGAGTGTTTCCTTCTGCTGCTCAACTTCCATTTTTTGATCTTCAATGGTTCGAAGCTTTCTTTGGATTGCTTCTCTCATTTTCGTTAGTCGGACTGTGTCCTGTTTAAGGCCGTTGATTTCATCTTCTTTGGCTTTCAGCTCGGCAGCTTTTTGTGTATTTTCCGTTGCAAGCTGATCACAGTTCAACAGTTGCTGATCAAAATCCTGTTGGACTTTGGTGAGTCGAGCGTTCAGCAGATCTGTATCTTTCATGGCTTTTTCATTTAGTATCTACAGAAGGAAAAGGACATGTGTACATGTAGAACTTCAGTATTAAAAAGGCAGGTATGGATTCATGCATTACCGTATCTATTCGATTAAGTACCCAACCTCGAATTAGCGCCCACCTCGAGTAAGCGCCCATCCTAAAGGCAGAAAAAGTTAATAAGCGCCCAGCCTCGAATGAGCACCCACCCCACCCCACTCCCTCCAACAAAAACTCCAATAAGAGATGATAAGAGACCCTCCCGAAGACCGAGTTTTGTTCAAAGTATTTTACAGAAACCTTGCTTTGTTGCATCTTTGCTTTTTGTAATTAGCTTTTATTTTTTTGTTGGAAAATATACCACTACACTTGCTGAGAATGGTGAAAATTTAATAAGCGCCCAGCCTCAAAGAAGTGCCGACCTCGAACATGCAATTTATCTTGTTGTGAACTTACCCTTTGTTCTTTAAGTTGTTGTTCTAGCTTAGTTATGTCTTCCTGTGCTCGTTGAAGATTGCCCGATTTTGTTTTCAACTCGGCAGTTCTGGTTTCCAAGTCATTCTTGGCTTGCTTTAACTCTTTTTCGATTTTCTCCTTTTTCCTGGCTTCTCGCTGTGCTTCATTACTGCGGACTTGAATGTCTTCTTTAAGCTGGAGTTCAAAATGAAAAGAGAAGATCCAAACAACTATTAAAGGTTAATTCCTTCAATGCATATGTTGCAGTTAATTTTTATTTTTCCTTTGCTCCAAATTCATTGGCATACATTACCATACCCCAAAACAAAGGAAATCAAGAATTGACTGAAATAAAAAAATAACTGCAACACATACAACTGCCGTCAAGGTAACAACATTATTCATAAGTTACATGCAAAACTTGATATTTTTTTTGTATGCTAACATGATAACAAATACTAACCATTTCAATAAATTTCTGAGCTGGGAAAACAAACCATCAGCCAAAGTATCATATCCTCCTCGAAAGCATGGTCTTAGATTGGCCTTGGGGAATGAAATTATTGTTCAAGTAGATTTTAATGTGTGTAGCCAACTGTAGATTGGCAATCTCACTACCAAAACAGATCAATGCCACTTTGTCTTGCAAATGAGTACATTCCATGTAGCTGAGTCTGTAAAGCCTTTATACGGTGGTGATTCAGTTGGCTATTTTACTTGTGAAGGGATTCGGCTGAGATTTTATCATCGAGTCATTGGAAATAATCGGATTGACCCAACCCATCGATCATCGATTATAATTGGAAAATCTATCAATAAAAAACTATTGATAAAAATCTGTTGATAAAGAACTCAGCCACCTTGTTTGCTGTGGACAACTTATATTAAGACAACGAGAAGAAGACCCTGGGAACAAACTTGAGTTTCACTTCGATCTTGGCAAGCTGTTTATATCTGTTTTGCTTTCATCTACTCTTGTAACCTTTCTGATCACAGTAGTAGATCTAAAAATGTATTTTATGGCCAGCTACTAATTTAGAATAATTTCTAAGAGAACAATCAAGGTAAGTTTTTTCTGTTTGAAATATGCGCTATCAAATCTGAACAATTAAATGCAAAATGCAAAATCTAGTCTGGCGCCAGCGTGTTTCACCGAGTTTTGGAAAACATTAAAAATGTATGAAACGTAGGAGAAAGAGGTAGTCAGTGGAAGCTGCTATTACAAGTTTTTATTTGTCATCAATAATTTTTTTTCATTTGTCCGGGATAATTGATTGTCATCATCCATAATCGATTGTCACGTTGCTTAAAGATTTGCGATCAATGATCGATTATAATCGATGATCGGCACACCACTAATATCAGTCTACAGTGTACCTTGTATACTACATGTATAATATACTTGTAAGTACCTGTGGATAGGGTTATGAGTTTATGAGCACATGTAACTTACTTCTGCAATCTTCATCTCAGCTTCTTCCCTGTCTTGCTCAGCCTTCTGCTGTTTTGCAGTTGCACTAGAGAGCTCTTCTCTCATCTAAAAAATTTAACATTGACTTTACATAAGCAAGGAATTACAATCAAGTTATTCATGTACATGTATAAGACATACACAAATTAACAAGTCAGAATCTAAACAAAACAAAAAATTCAAACCTTGGTAATCTCAGACAATTTTTCATCTCTTTCCTTTGTCAGCTCATCTTTGATTTTGAGCAGCTCATTAACACTAAAATTGAAAAGCAAACATAACATAAAATTTTAACAAAACAGTCAAATGAACCTGTCTTCTGGCATGTTAAGTTAAAAAAGTCGACAACTAAAATGCAAGCACACCTAAGGTCATACATTGAACCAAATGCCAACATGGCTATTAAAAAGGCTGTATTCTAGCATAACAAAGCACCATAGCACTAGTATATTTCTTTCACCTTTCACAGATTTAAGGTGGCTCTGAACCTGCATTAGAAAGGAATGAATTTAACTGCAAAATAAGTGCAGACATACACAACCAAACTTGGACACACACACTCTTTTATACACTTTTAGTTCGTATATTTTTGTCATTACCTGTGATCTTGACCCATAGTTAAGCCTGCTCCCTGTTCTACCAGTTTACTGAGGTTTGCTATCTCAAGTTTCAAAGACTGAATAGTTTCCCTTGCTCTTTGCTCCTTATCATGTGCTGCATCAACCATTTTCCATGCTTTTTCAATTTCCTAAGAGAAAGAAAACAACAGAAACAAACTACCGGTAAGAATGGTAGCCAACAATTCTTGAAACATTTTGTGAATTAAGCTTGATTTACCCACTTCTAAAGGCAGTTGCACTTTCAAAAGTTGATTAGCATGAAAGTAAAATACATTTAACTAGGCTAAGACTTTCCTTTACTGTTACAACTTGATACTTTGGTACTAAACTAACATGTTCCAAGGAAGTTCTACAATTTATTAATAGTGCTGGAATGAGTTTTGCCCACATATGATCTTCTTACTGGCACTAGCCTGTGTACAGACCCCCCTTCTCTCAAGAAAAATTGGAGAAGGGGCGTCTGCGATTTGGCATCGCTAATTGTGTATGGAGGCCATGTGATTTTTCCCGGAATGAGTGGTAAATGATTTGATTGGCTGTTACTTGTAGATCACTACATCATGTAAATGATGGATGTTTCTCTCTTAAGCTCACTCACTGAATTTGGTCTGCGCCACAGACGGAACTAAACATCTTTTTAAGTCCGTCTGTGAGGCAGTGCCGAAATCCTTGTTCTGGATCCCCAACTGTGTACCAGGATTTGAGTATACACCATGGTTGGGCTGTTGAAAATGCCACTGTCCATTTGCCAATCAAGCTGACGGGAAATTTGAAACATATTACTGGTAATATTAGGGCTGCACAGATGTTACTTCCCAGGGTTAGATTATATCTGTGATGCAGGCTAACTGAATTATAAAAAGTATTATTTTATTGCTGAAGGATCTCAATCATTCTGCAACTAGTTAGCAAATTTATGTGATACCAGCAGTCTTTACAAGGGTCGTTTACTTTCGAAAATGATTACCTTTTTAAGGGAAGCAATCGTCGTCTGATCTTCCTGCGAAAGTTTCAAAGCCGTTTGAACTTTGGAAGCGTTTGCTACAATCTCTGCGTTCAGCTCCCTGCATTTTTGCATCAAACGTTTTTCGCTTTCATGAGACTTCTTCAAAGCTCTGTGTAACTTCTCATACTCCACACGAAACTTTTCGAGGCTTTTATCTCCCATGAGCTCTCCAAGAACCTACAAAAGTTAGAAACGATTAGCTTTAAAAAAGGTCAAATGACATTTTGGAACGGTTTCGCTCCATAAGTTTATTTGTTCAGATTTCCCAGAGATGCAGATTGTAACTGGCCGACCGCAAATGCCAACTACTAGCTAATACAGTATCAAGCTTAAACATAAAGGCGTTCATCATAATCCCGTTCTTTAATAAAATCGGCAGTCTCATACCTCTTGGAAATCTCTTTCGAGTGCCTCGAATGCATTTTCCTCGATTGCGGGTTTCTCTTTGATCTCCTGTGATTTTTTGTCCGTCTGAAAGAAATGTAAACTGCCATCAACATNGCCAACTACTAGCTAATACAGTATCAAGCTTAAACATAAAGGCGTTCATCATAATCCCGTTCTTTAATAAAATCGGCAGTCTCATACCTCTTGGAAATCTCTTTCGAGTGCCTCGAATGCATTTTCCTCGATTGCGGGTTTCTCTTTGATCTCCTGTGATTTTTTGTCCGTCTGAAAGAAATGTAAACTGCCATCAACATTCCATGATAGACTTAATTTGGCGAAAGCTCACAGATGTTCAATAACTGAAATAGCAATATCGCAAACAAGCGTATTTACCTCCATCGTCGTGTTATACTTTTACGGACTACAAGTCCGATCACAGACGAGTAATAAGCTTACTTGTGATTGCTGTTTTCGGCCGGTCGTTTGCGTTTATCAAGATGGCGGATGGGTTTTGGTGATTTGTTTCTATGGTTACCAATGAACAAACTGCATCCGTATCCAGTCCTCCTCGGTCTATAAGAAAAGTAGGTCCGCAGAACGTGCATTGTTGTCGGCAGCCGAGTTCCACACTGTAATCCTGACTGGACGGATTTTTATAAAGAAAAGTCAGACTTGAGACTACTCTTTATCCCGGACATGGGTCTTCATATGGAAAGAAAGATTTAATGCGCTAATTTCTTTCATCCTGCTCGTATGTTCGTATCCTGTGCTGAGCCCGAGTAAAGCCAGAAGGTTAAACGTATGGTTACAAAAAAAATCCCTTTCGAAAAATACAACTTTGCAAAACTTAGAGAGCCTTTTTAAAACTGCCATAATTTTGCAAATATTTAAGATTATATTTATTTATATATAAGACAAGTAGTGTAGCTTTGTGTTACTGAATTCAAAATTAAAACCAGGAAGGCTTAGCTTGTTGTTGTTGTTATTGTTTTTTTTATTTTGCAAATCCCATTGAATGCGTGAATTGTTGAGTCTCCAAAATGCAAAAGGGTTTACGGTGAAGTCACCCGAAAGTCATCTCGACCGATGCCATTGCCCCTTTATTATAGTATCATACTGCACGCTACTGTAGTCCCGGGGGTGGGGGAAGGGGGTACTCCGGAAGTGACGGGATGATCGAATAGGGCATAAATCAAAACCCCCAAAAAATCCCTGGGGCTTCCAACATACCCGCAAAAATCCCTGGACCAAACGTTAACCCCCAGAAAATTCCATGCTGAATTTCCGAGCCTTAAAAGTTTCCACAAAGCATAAATGATATAACACGAAAAACAAAAACATTAGAAATTGAATGTTTGTGTGAATGAATGTGCCCGTATCGCACACATTCAATACTAAAACTTATCAACGAATTTTGCGGTCAGTCACTTTTTGAGGGCTAAGATGTCTCCTGAATGGGCTTCAGGACCCCGAAAAACTGTTCCCTTTCCCCTGAAAAGAGGTGTTCCTTCAATAGAGGTAACAAATACAAAGATTATGTGAACTTTTTTCTGGGCCAAATTTAGTGTCCCCTGAATAGACGTGTCCCAAAAGACAGATGCCAGTATTGTTTATTCATTCCCCCGGGAGGAAGACTCCCATAAGACAGTGACAAGGATACCCAGAAAGAAGCCGGCGTAGCTGGTGGTTTTGTCTGGCGAGAGCCGAAATGAGCGGCAAAACTACGAAAGCGCGCGAACGAGCGGCGAAATTGAGTTCGCTTCACTCACCCTGCCCCTTTCCAGCAATAACCGCCAGCTGTGCAAGCTAGACGGAAAGCCATTGTTTTTTGCATTAAAGTTTTCGTTTAATAGGGTCGTGCGTAAAGAAATGTCGACTATGAAACATGATAAAGGAACAAACAAACAACAACAAAACAAACTCTGACGATGAAGCGGTACCCGTCTTTTTCATATAAGAGTCTGCCAGGATTCTTCCCTTTTCATTCCAAAACTGACATCATTTGGTGGTCAACGGCAAAAGCATTACTCTCTCCTGGGAGCTGAACTCCATTTTTATGTAAATCTTTCGGAAAAAATTATTTCATTGACCCTTACCGTGACCGATGTTACATGGTTGCATACCAAGGATTCAGAATGAGGTTAAGTATAAAACTTTAAGTTTAAATAAGTTATTTTTGAATGAGAATAAAAAATGCCGTTTTCTTATCAAACTGTCGAGGATCAGTTGCCAGTGAAAGTGGGGGATGATGCAATATAACAACTTGCTGGATGACAGTGGGTTTTTCCGGTTCATTTACCTTTGTGCATATTATCTGTTTATTGCGGAAAATAACAGATACATGACCATGGATGTATGGCTTGGAGAACTTTTAAGACACAAGATTAAGGGAATACAGTGAGTGCCGATGACAATAAAAGCATTCTACTTTTATATGTCAAGTTTTTTGATGAACCATTTTTTTCAAACTTTCGCAATGTCATAGAAACGTAACTGATGACAACCCACCAATATAAATAGAAAACGCCTGTATGCGCATTGGCCAATTGGCTGCGACATATGACGTCATGGTTTTGCACATGGCATTGTCGATAAGTGTTGTTTTGTGTCGGGAAGGGCAAAGTGCAAGGTAAAGTGAACTTTCCCAACGACAGTGGAGGGCTACCTCCTCGTCGATCTTGTGCATTTTTACGCCAACATATTCCATCTAGAGCCCTAACGAGGGTCAAGGAAGATCTCTCAAGTGACCGCTGTCGATGGAAAAATATCTTGAAAGGATCGAACGATTAATCTAAGGTAACTTACTTCATCGATATTGACTCGCGATCGAACAAAATGATTCCTGATTCACGTCTCATACCTGGAAGTGTAAAGGCCTTGGTGTTCGACTGCGATGGAACTCTTGTTGATACGATGCCGATCCACTGGAGAGCATGGTGCAAAATATGCAACGAAACTGGTCTTGTCTTTCGCAAGAAAGACTTTTATACTCTAGCGGGTGTGCCCGGTAAAAAAATTATCAATGTCCTGGCAAAGCAGCAAGGAATCAAGCTAGATCCATGCGCTATTTACGACCAGAAAAGGAAATACTTTCTAGAAGGACTAACGTCTGTTACAGCGATCCAGTGTGTTGTTCGATTCGCTCAAGAAGCCCATAAAGTGGGAATTCCAACCGCCGTTGCTTCGGGAAGTTCGCGCGCCCAAGTGCAGAAAGGTAAGGGATCGATAAGTTTGAGCTTGGTGTTTTAACTACCTGTCTGTAAATATTGTAAATTAAGTTAACCAAAGCTGTAGAAAATTCTTTAGAATGTCTTTTTCTTAACATTCTATTTGGGAATTTTTGATAAATTCGTGTGTACTTTCAAGCAGTTTCAATGCCATGTTAAAGGCGGTAGCTGCCGCCGCCCCCGGCATACCCTCTTGGGAGATTGTTTTGAATTGTATATGATCATTTCTCGGGTACTTTAGTACGATCTAGTCAGAGTAATGCTTTCTAGAGAGTTACCTTTCTTAAGGGAAGAAGTTTTTGGCGTGTATTTTACTTCCAGCTCATCATTTTACCTACAATGTTCAAAGCGAAACGCACGAGTTCAAAGTCCACATAATTACAAAGGCATCTTTCGTGTTCTTTTGAGAGACAAATATTTTGCATATATTTTGAAGTAAAAAGGATTTTTATGTTAAAGGACCGTTTCATTCTCCTCTATGATCGTTTTTGTTGGAAATTTATAGTTATTTTTGACAACTTTGATTTGGATGCGCTTCGCTGGGGAAACAAAATTTGTTGTTCCGTGTTTTCATCCGACGATGACTCTGCGATTGGAAAATTCATGAAGGCGTGTTGGGGGTGTGTGCCAGTTCCGCGATCTGATTGGTTAGCGCACCAGGTGGTTCGAAGGTTTGTAAACATTTCGAGTCGTTTTGCACGTAAAATCCCAGTGAAAGAAACTGCGTGAAATTACCCCTAAAATGTGGATATCTCAATATTTTTTTTGTGTTTCTATCAAATCAAGAACTTTACTTGATATTTAGGTGCAAAATTCATTAAGATGTGTATTTTTCAACACGGGACGTGACAAATACATGTATGTTTATAGTTTATTTCAACTCGTATTTTCGTAAATTATTCAACGACACTAGGACTTTCCTAATTTTGGTTTAAAGCAACAGTAAAAAACAATTTTACTTACAAAAAATTTTAAGATTTTTGTAACTAAACTTAAGTTTTAAAGAAAGAACCTTCAGTAAAGTGAACTGAACAAAAGGAAACCGGTCGTTTCGATACAAATTCGCGTCGTTTTGAAACTACACAGAGATTTCGATCATCAAGTATAGTTAGCGGGCGATCAAGAGGAAAACATGAATTTTCCTCGTTCTTAAAGCCAACTACGCGAGACTATTTCTACCTCGACTGAATAGAGCAAAAGCCTGAGCAATAGGGAGTTAAAGCAGTCTCACGTATGGCGAAGGCAACGTGAACAAGTCAAAGGTATTAGGTTCGTAACCGGTTCAGTAAGCAAAACCACAATTTTACATACGTATCACGCGTTTTGCTACGTCTCTTTGCCGTCACTGCACCACTACAACGTGAAATTTCCTAAAGTGTCGTTTTGTGAGCTGCTTAAACACACCGGGAAAGACATTTAAGCGAGCTGAAATAATCGCGTGAAAGTTCAAATGGACGTGAATGGGTTTCTTAAAGTCTTTTATTTCTGTTTCACCCATGGGTGCGTCTAACTCTTTAGAAAAACGACAATGATATATTTTTTTTATTTTCACCTGTTTGTTCATTTTTTTATATCAGCTCTCAAGCTAGCTGGAATTGATCACTTATTCGATGTAGTATTGGGCAATGAAGATTACACAGAGCACAAGCCAAAGCCTGATGCGTTCACTACAGCAGCTAAGCGACTAGGAGTCAGCCCAGAAGAATGTTGGGGTTTTGAGGATACGTAAGTCAGATTTCAATCTGAAAGATGTGGGCTTGTTTGTTTATGTGCCGGTTCAACTTAAGTTATTGAAAATCTTTCAACTTTGAATGATTATTTTGATGCTAGAATTTTAGCCTAGGGGCCCTGGAATATTGGCTTGCTGATCCAATAACCCATGTATTTTCTCGTTTCAGTACTTTAAATTAAGTGCTTTTGTCAATGGCTTTATTAATATTGTTTTTGGCTTTGTTACAAAAGGACCTACCCCACGGTATCAGAGGTTTTTTTGTTTATTTCACCTGGATATTTTGAAAACAGACCTCTGTAGCAATTAAGCACCATGAGGCAAACAAAAATTATATATGCATGTATGATCAAACTTTATACCCCTGACTCCTGACTAGCCTTGTTTCTTAAAATAAAATGAAGGATTTGAATATTGATTTTAATTCTATGACCAATGCAGTGTCATCAATCGCAATTCATAATAGGAAAGACCACAAAACTCTTTGATTTAACAGCTGGTGGCTGTACTCTCACCTTGGCACAATATCAAAAGTTGACATCACTGAACAGATCTTTAATCCCAAGTTTCAAGTGGCTGCAAAATATTTTGAATGTGATTCACTGTTGATCGTCGATCAGCATTCACTAATTTGCTTGTATTTATTTCCTAGGGACATTGGTCTAGAAGCAATTAGACAAGCTGGATTTTACAGAGTAATTGATGTTCGACAAATGGAGGGTTATCCTACCAGAACAGATGAGAATGGACTCATGATCCAAAATCCTGCCAATGAATTTCACAACCTAAGATATAGAGCCTTCACTATGTAAAACGTCAACTTGTTGCAGTTTAAAGGGGCTCTGTCACCAGGATATTGCTGTTCTAGGTCAATTCTGTGCTGAACAAACCACCATTGCTTTGCCGAAAGTGAAACTTGACTTTGCTCGGAAAAGTTTTTACTTTTTAGGCGCTTCAGCTTTTAATTCTTTACCTTTAAAAATCAAGCAAATTAGCTGTAGGATACTATTTAGGGAGTTATGATCAAACTTTATACCCCTGACTCCTGACTAGCCTTGTTTCTTAAAATAAAATGAAGGATTTGAATATTGATTTTAATTCTATGACCAATGCAGTGTCATCAATCACAATTCATGATAGGAAAGACCACAAAACTCTTTGATTTAACAGCTGGTGGCCATCCTCTCACCTTGGCACAATATCAAAAATTGACATCACTGAACAGATCTTTAAATCCCAAGTTTCAAGTGGCTGCAAAATATTTTGAATGTGATTCACTGTTGATCATCAATCAGCATTCACTAATTTGCTTGTATTTATTTCCTAGGGACATTGGTCTAGAAGCAATTAGACAAGCTGGATTTTACAGAGTAATTGATGTTCGACAAATGGAGGGTTACCCTACCAGAACAGATGAGAATGGACTCATGATCCAAAATCCTGCCAATGAATTTCACAACCTAAGATATAGAGCCTTCACTATGTAAAACGTCAACTTGTTGCACTTTAAAGGGGCTATCTCACGCGAATATTGCTGTTCTATGTCAATTCTGTGCTGAAGTCATAATGCCTTAACCGATACACAAAATGCTCCTGTGAAGAGTTATGAAATATCAAACAGGGAGGGAGGCTATCAGGGAGCACTAACCAGTTTTATCCATTTTTTTTGCTAATTTTACAGGGATAGCTTTTTACAGGCGCAACTTTTTAAAAGTTTCAATCCAAGTCCATCCTTGCCATTTTTCGGAACAAACAAAAGAAAACACTTTCACAGTCCCTAAAAATATGCTGAAATTACAAACCATTATTTTTGGAGTTCAATTGATGCAAAAAAAGTTTTTAGCTTTTCAAAAAGATAGCAAATAGAGTGGCATAGTCCCTTTAGACTGTAACTCTTCTATTGGTTTAGTGCAACTTCATTATGATGACAGAACATGTTTATATGTTTTATTTTAAAACTAAGTGAAGTCAGGTTTTTGTATTAGTTATTAAAATCAAATTATTTTGGAATAGTTGTGGGGTGGAAGGGGGGGGGGTGCAAACTTCTAGACAACAGTAACATTTTTTTTGAAAGTTCATTGATTTCTACTCAAATAACTGTTTCTGTTGGAAGGTGATCATTCAAACCTTTATCTGCCAATGCACAGCAGTATATGTAATTTTTTTGTGCTATTGAAGCACAAAGACACATGTTATAAATTATTTTTCACATAGAAAATTATTCCAATGTCACAAATTTCAGAGGTTTGAATCCTTGCTTTTTCCACCAATAGAAAGGAGTCCATTGAAACTTGAAAAAAGCCCATGAAGAAAAATCACTGCTTTAAATGTCTGTGATTTAATAGCAATAATATTATTTTTAATTTTTTAATTTAGTGTACTAGGGTGAGTGCATCATAATGAAGTTGCATTGCTATTCTATATATCCATACAACTTGTACAGTTTTGTAAGAAAAATTTGAAAATTAATAGCCTGCCAATGCATGCATATCTTCCCACAAAAAAGGAGAAAGGAGGGGAGTCGCAAGAGTATTGTTACGTTGCTTTCTTTGAAAAAAGTACGTATTGCTTGTTAGATTAAGCTAGGTATTTTAGCGACACCCAAGAAAAATAATGCTTTTAAAGTAGTAGTTATTTTAAGTAACATTTTAAGAAGAGGGACTGTGGTTTTAGAACAATAATATTAGTTAGTGAGTTTATGCAACTTAAGACCTGTGGACGGCAGAAAAATGAGAAGCAAAGTGCTTTTTTGTGACAGATGTGACCATTCACGCTATTACTTGAGTGTTACATCATGATCAGTTTACTTAACGTTAACATTGTGTGGTCATGATTTAGAGGAAAATTATTTGAAACAAAATTATTGTCTCGCTTGTGACACAAGCTTTGCTATTTTCTTTCCTGGCTATCTTGTCCTGTTGTATAAGTTCAGTATTGTATTATAGTTATCAATTTTGATGACATTTATCAGAGAAGTACAAAAGAGAAAAATTACCAAAAGGAGATATGGAGAAAAGGTTAACAAATGGGAAAAATGAAAATGTTTCTGCTGGGGAAATAATATTAATAATCTATTTAAGTTGTAGTAATGGTTATTGCAAAAACATCAATTAATTTTAGGGTTTTGGAAAATTTTCACACCAACTTGTGGGATTTCTGGACTGATAGCAATGGGGCCGACGTTTTAGATCCCTTGTAACTCTCAGAAGTGGTGTGTCAGTATTTTCCGGAAAAAAAATTCTTTGAATAATGTTTTAGCTATACATTCAAATATTTTATCCCAGGGAAAGCCTGCACACAGCTGTTTATCTCCATCTCTGGGCAATACATGTATTATATTCAAGTCATATTTTCTAGAAATTGTTACACAAGTTTCTTTTTGGAATTTTACATAGTAGGTATACTGCTAGAAAAATATTTACACAGTCTGTAACATAGACACTGGAATTTTATGTCCCACTGCTGTAATCTGCCAGCTTTTATTTCATAAATAAATGCTAACTTTCTTGGTAATATGTAAATTATGCTATCAAATAAGTATTTAACTGTATCTTTTTTTGCTCTGAGCATATAGCGTCTCCCTATTTGAATATTTCACCTAGGGGCTTAAGTTTAACCTCTAATTTTCATGAACTCTTTGTTAAGGTGCTGCAACCAAAATGGAAAATAAAGGAAGAAATATGGACACTAAAGTTTTAACGTTTTATTTTCTCCCGAAATATTAATATAGGCTTAGTCAATAATTTTCCCTTACAAACTGTCTGAAAATAATGAACATTAAAAATTTATATTTGGGCAAAATTGGGCCATTCCATTTATTAACCACATCCTCTCCCCCTTTGGATGAGATTTTCCGAGGGGTACCTGAGCGGTTGGCTGTGTCGGCACCCTTCGATCTTTGCAATATTTCTGAGGGAGGAAGAAAACATGGGCTTCTTCTGAGGGTGGGAGGGACTGTGTTGGTACTTTTGATCTCTTTCTCTTGGTTCAAAATTAGCAATAAATTTACTACAGACATGAAAAAGTTTAGCCCTAAAGTCACTTGTACATAATATTATTACAAAACAACAAGTCTAATCCGTGACCTGGTTACTCCGGCCCGGGACGCTACGTAGGAGACTATCATCTCCCTAGTCGAGGAATTTTGAGTAGCACCGAGTCGCACGTAAAATGATCACGAATACCTCAGTAGCCTCCCACACGGAACTCGAGGAAGATTTTCAGGACATCTGGGTGGGAAGATATCAATGAGTGTAGTGAAGAGTTAGACATTTTTCATAGTTTCGGAATAGTTCAACGTACCAAAGATTTCAAGTGACTCACCGCATATTTTAATGTAAGCTAGATTACAACAATATAATTTATTGATCAAGGGTTTAATATTTACTTAAAATGTTTTGGTCTTTTCTATGACTCTATCCTTTAAAAACAAATAAACAAACACGCTTTCACATAGCTCCTAAACCGGATGCAAAACAGATTAAGATATCTGTTGATAGATCGACCTTTTCAACAATGCTATTTACGTCGAACACCCCGGCCGGCGCGTGACCGGCAAAGATCGTCAATGAAATTAGATTTTTGATTGAAAATGTTATAGAAATCAAAAGCATTTAGCATTATCATCGGTGTTTCATTGCAAAATATTATGTAGCGACATATTGTTTACGTAAACGACTGGTTGCATGAGATGGTGCGTGACACATAACTGTTCCTTGCGTGTGGCATTGACGTGCACGATTACGTAAAACAGGGTGGTCGTGACGGTCTCGATTAGGGATATATATATCTAGATGCATAACAGCAAAACGGAGAAGGGAACCGAAACAGTCCGATCTCTTACTCGGAAAAGAAATATAAATGTACCTATTGTATGAGACCATAGCTGAAGTAAAAAAAAATAATAAACAGCAAAGTAACGTCTGAAGGAGCCCTCCCGCGTCTAGTACCGTGCCACCCACCTACGTTGTTCATCAGACAGCAAATTGTGAACGCCAGTTACACTCCGAAAAAAAGTTTCCCCTGGAAGTAAAATCTGACTACCGTTTGTGATCTAAAGAGGTTGTCTTTAAGTTGTACTACGTTTCCGATCCGAGGATCCCACAAAACAAAGTCCTTGTCTCACTAGTGTTCCATTCATGTTTTTAAAATATCCGTGACAGTAACCATGCCTTTTTGTAATATTCATTCATTCATGATCTCAACAACATTCTAGAATTGCATTGACCGGAAAGTTCATTTTGTTGATACCGGGTAAAAATGAACAGAGTCGTGACATGAGGCACTTCTAAATCCAGTCAGGTTCGATCGTTTAACTTCTGAAATATCAAGAAGTACAGTTGAAAACTCAAGCTTAAAGATACAGGATAAGGATAAACACAGTGGATCGACCAACTCAGGAAACTTGATTGAAACTTTCGCCTCCTGTGGGGTATTAAAAACGTCGTTGTAGGATCACTGACCAAGACGTCTTCTGTCTGAAGCGGAGGGATTTGTTGCTTATAAGCTGAAAACACGTCGTGATCACTTCTTTGAATTCTTTGTTTACCTTCTAACGCCTTTTTTTGCGGGAAGTTACAGTTTGTATCGACAATGCATTCACCTGTGGAAGCCAAGGCCCTGATCTTTGATTGTGATGGAACTTTACTGAACACTATGCCCTTACATTGGAGCGCTTGGTGTGCTATTTGTAGAGAAACGGGCTTGAGATTTAATAAGGAAAGCTTTTACGCGCTCGCGGGAGTTCCGGGTAGAGAAATTATCCGCGAACTAGCAAATCAACAAGGGATCGTTCTTGATCCTATGGAAGTGTACGCACGAAAGAAGGCTTTCTTTCTAAATGGACTTAAATCTGTCAGAGCGATACCCTGTGTTGTTCAATTTGCCTTGGAAGCAAGGAGAACTGGAATACCAACCGCTGTAGCGTCTGGTAGCTCACGCGCTCAAGTTGAACAAGGTACGATGTGGACGATGGGAAGGTCAAGGGTGAATCTGTTTTTCGTTTTTCATAAATTTTTGGCTCCTGCGCGAGAGGTTACTTCCTAAAAGGAAGTATTCCTTCAATTTCTTTCTAGCTTTTCTGTTTAGGATATTATTTGGCGATAATTTAAACACAAGCTTTAGGGCGTATTTACATGTTTTACAAAGAATCTGATAATTCGATTCAATCTCATTGTTCTTTTCGGGTTCAAAGTCCACGCCGCGATCATTGGCTTCTATCTTTGGAAAGCTGCGGCTGGCTAATCCATAAGGAGGGATTTGAAACAACATCCCCGAAAGCAGTAATGTCCAAGGTGTCCAGAGGGAATCTCCACTCCGCCACAATTACAAAAGAATCATTTTCTGCTAGTCTATACCTTCACTTACTGAGTCTTTTACTATGTGATACATACCCTCAGGTAGAAAACTGACAGTTATTTTGTCTATTTTGGTGAGGGAATGAGGTGGAAACAATGAGAAATTGTTTGAGTGCACTTTCACAGCTTTGCTGCTTACTGGAGCCCTCACTGGCAAAAGCCCCAGCATTGCAGTTTACTGCAGTACGGTCAACTCTTTCTTAATGGACACCTCTATAAAACAGACACCTCACTAAAATGGACACCTAGAGTTGGTCCGTGCCTTTCTTTACCCCTTTCAATTCACTCTCTATAAGATGGACACCTCTCAAAGATGGACACATAGTGCTGGAAAAGGTGTCCGTCTTATTGAGAGTTGACTGTAGCAGTTTTATCTAAGGAAGTTTAACTGTGAGGGAGACTACCCCTATACCCACCCCAGCAAAAACCTGATACTGGATATAGACACTGGAGAAATCCTTCTCCCAGATGGATTTGTCGTTAACCATAGAGTATCCATATTATGTATTTATGTATGATAGTGTTCTGATGGAAATTTCGTAGAAGTCCTTGAGGGCTGAATCACAAAATCAAATCGATTATACATTTTATTTATACTACCATTAATTCAGCCACTTAAGCTAGAAAAATCCAATTAGGTTCCAGTTACTTCATATCATCTAAATTATGATCCATGTGTTTTTGATTTTGTATCTCTTACGTACTCATTTGGAATTCCTGGTAAAAATCAAAAATACTTTTTAAAACAAGCTCAAAAATGTTGTATTATTCTATATTAGTGAATTCTACTTTATTAATTTTCTCTGTACAGCATTGACGGAAACTGGTATTCGAGACCTGTTTAATGTAATTGTTGGAAATGAAGACTACGAGAAAGCCAAACCCAGTCCGGATGCCTTTCTGACAGCAGCCAACCAGCTGGGAGTGTTGCCGCAATTCTGTTGGGCCTTTGAAGACTCGTAAGTATCTCAAACCATTAAAATTATAGCTTGTGATAAGAAAACAAAGGGATGTACCGTCATTAAAACTTTGAAGATGGAAAATCTAATAACTTTTTTAACCTTAATATTTTATCATTGATTTTATAATTTTATCATTGACCATTTGAGAAGCTATTAATGCTCAAAACAGGGTCTCATTCATTATTACAAATTGTCTGTGCCTTTTTTCAAGCCACCTCATTGTGTCTGATATCAATAGTAAAAGCTGCTCTCAAGAGCCTAACAAAAAACAAACACGTACATAAATGTACTGCCTATAAGTAGTAATAATAATATTATTTACTCAGTACCCTGATAATATTGCAGACATTAAGTATTTGCCATTAATATATCAGCTAGTTATTGTTTGCATTATTAATTAATAAATCTATTCATTTATTTGAGCAAATCCCACGTATTTACATCCAAGGTAAAGAGTTTATTTTTTAAATTGTTTATCATACGATTTATCTTATTTTTTTCAGAGACATTGGCATAGAGGCAATAAAAAGAGCTGGTTTTGCCAAATTTGTAGATGTACGGCATTTAGAAGGTTATCCTGAAGATGATAGTAGATGATGATAGTCGACTTCAATGCAGAAGATGAGCATTCTTTGTCATCTGCATCAGATCAATGTCAAATTGGACAGAATACATGCACAATGATGAAGAAGACTACAGAATGCTGCATTGTAAAATGAGGATAATCTCCTGGCATTGAGTTATGTTATTTCAGAGAATACTGCCATCAGGTTTTTAGCCAGACATTGAAAACTGGCCGTCCAGAAGGCATGTTTTCCCAAACATTATAAGAGATCAAGACATAGTGAATTTTCCTTGTATTTCTTTCTAAAGAGGCTGTCCATAAGATGGCTGGACACCCTTCTGGCTAAAACCTTGACTGCCATGCCAGAAGAAAATGTTCTAAGTAGCTATCAGTTTTCCTAATTAGAATAGAGAAATAACAACAGTATCAGATTTTTAAAAAAAATACATTGTAATGTGGAACACTTGCTAGATTATTAGTGTTTTAAACCAGCCAAATGCTGTCAGTTGGTANTGTTTATCATACGATTTATCTTATTTTTTTCAGAGACATTGGCATAGAGGCAATAAAAAGAGCTGGTTTTGCCAAATTTGTAGATGTACGGCATTTAGAAGGTTATCCTGAAGATGATAGTAGATGATGATAGTCGACTTCAATGCAGAAGATGAGCATTCTTTGTCATCTGCCTCAGATCAATGTCAAACTGGACAGAATACATGCACAATGATGAAGAAGACTACAGAATGCTGCATTGTAAAATGAGGATAATCTCCTGGCATTGAGATATGTTATTTCAGAGAATACTGCCATCAGGTTTTTAGCTAGACATTGAAAACTGGCCGTCCAGAAGGCATGTTTTCCCAAACATTATAAGAGATCAAGACATAGTGAATTTTCCTTGTATTTCCTTCTAAAGAGGCTGTCCATAAGATGGCTGGACACCCTTCTGGCTAAAACCTTGAATGCCATGCCAGAAGAAAATGTTATAAGTAGCTATCAGTTTTCCTGATTAGAACAGAGAAATAACAACAGTATCAGATTTTTTAAAAAAATACATTGTAATGTGGAACACTTGCTAGATTATTAGTGTTTTAAACAAGCCAAATGCTGTCAGTTGGTACATGTACTTTAATTTTTTTATCTATTTATTGAAAAATTGAACTATTTATTGCAATAGTATGAAAAGTTGATCATTTAGCCCAAATCTGCTGAAATGTTTCATTTTAATTTTTAAAATTTTTAATGTGCTACTTGTCCTTTTATGATGTAATAACTTTTAACTGTAATTTAATCTATTTGACATGCTATTCAGAACATGTATAAAATAACCACTGCATTTTCAGTATTTTAACTGTAACTGGTACTTGCAACTTCAACAAGAGTATAGGACTGTTCAATAATATTTTATTAGATCATTATTTTTTTTGTAACTACAGCTGTATATGCCAGACCTTTTAAATATAGTGTCAGAAGTACATCCTTTACTTTTCCATTTACTTGTCTCTTATATAGATTTAGCCAGAGTTAAAAGCGAGGCTCCCATTTATGCATTTTAAATTTACTTCGGACACTGGACTAAACCATTGCAAAGAAATCCACAAATCTATACTTAACTTTAGGGGAGAACCATGTGACTGAAAAACATGAACTTGAGCCTGCAATCAATTAAAAGCTAATAACTGGTTGGCAAAAACTTAAAAAAACATGTGACCTTGATGAGTTGGCATCTGAGCCCAGAATACAGTCATGTGAATGATCAGCAGATACCTTTTTTGACAGCTGTCAATTGACCATAATATGGATGTCTATTATCAACTTAAAAACAAGTAACTGGCTTCCACACTAGCTAGTAAGTCTGACATTTCACAAATTCTAAATTAATTTTTCTTGGATTGATAGATTACCAAAATTTAATTTTCTTAGGTATCGGGCTCCGCTTGGGCACACGTGGAGTTCCACTAATAATTATTAATAATGAGAATAACTCAGTTCTTCCAGAAAAATACCCATATACCACCTTATAAAAGGGTTTTGGGAGAAATTTAATACATCACTGTCTTTCTCTACTGCTCTTTGATAGTGTGTTGTCTATAAAATATGAAGATTGGCACAAGACTCGGCAGATAATGCATCAAGTTGACTTATCTTTTCTAACGGTAAACTTGTTTTCAATGAGGCACTGTTATCAAATGAGTTATGATGGTCACAGTCAATTACATTTCATGACAGTATACTATACAAAGTGTATAATCCCAAATAAGGTTGTGTGCTTCATTTAGCGTTCAAAAACTTGCAGGTAATGGTCAGAAAGTCTTTGTGGGTAAAGGCCTGGTGCCTTTTCACTTGACATATTGAAATACATTTTTCCTCTTTTCACAACCTGATGCTATCAATTGTTTGTCAAAACTAAAATGCACCTATGCTGATACTTGAGCAGTTTTTGGAGTTTCTGTGTGAGACTTATCTGTATGCAGATTTATGAGAGTGTTACTGCTTTCTGCAAGTTCACTGATCGTAACACGTCCACGCTGCTTAATAAACTTGGCTACAGCTTGGAGCTCTTCTGGTGATATGTAAATGAATTTTCCACGATCATCTGTCACACCTGAAAGAGGAGTTTAAATGAAAAAACAAAGTTTAATTTAATAGCTTCACCTAAACAGAAGAAAAGAAATGGATTCTAAAATACGGTCGACTCCTGATAACTCGAAACTTCTGGGGAAATCAAAAAAAGTTTGAGTTATCGGGAGTTCCAAGAAAATAACTGGGAATAAGGAAATAAGAAAATGGATGGGGAGGGAATGCAACCATGATGGACACTTTATGGACAGCAAGAGATGCAGATTAGTATTTTGAAAAAGGAATCAAGCAACAAAACTTGATTAATTAATATTCTGAGATGGATGTTGAATTTGAACTCGAGTGACAAAAAAGTGAAACAAAGAACTGACATAAAGAATTCTTGTTTTGATTGTGTTTTCTTGTTTTGTTTTTTCCAACATTTCAGACTACAGTGAACTTTTTTTCACTTGTCACATGCTTAAAACATGGTTTGAGTTATCAAGGGTAGAAATATATAGTTAAATGATCTGAAGGGAGACAAAAATTACTTTGCGTTAGGGGGAGGTTTGAGTCATCGAGGGTTCGAGTTACTGACAGAAAATTACAATACATGTATGAGGAAAATCCAGGGGAAATTGACTTTGGTTTGAGTTAGCATGAGGTTTGAGTTAGCAAGGGTTTGAGTTTTCTGGAGTCAACTTTACATGTAGCAACATCCAGTTTAGCAATGCTTATAAATGCCCACAGTGGACAACACTGGAGGGCTTTATCAGTGCAATACATGATGGAGATCCCTGGTTAACCTGGAAGAACCTACTTATCTTCAGCATTGGTCAACACAACCACCTGTCTGAAGGCATACATGTACAAATTATGATCATGAAAATGATGAGGATGATAGTGGCAATGCTTAACACCAATGACTATCAACAACAAAAATTTTTGACACTTCACCCTCTCTGCAATAAAATTCAATCTGGAATTTCTGCACTCATTCCTCAGACTTCATTTTGCAGGGAAACCAGTGGTGGGGTTTAGAAATGTCAGATGTTTTCTCAGGCTAAGGTATAAATGCTTGCCCTGGTTGGGGCTAGGAGGTAGGATAGCGTCAAAAATGTGTAATTTGAAGTTTCACATGATTGATATTCCCCATGGAACTTTCGCCTCATCATAATGCATGCTGAAATAGTATTTACAGATTACAAAGACAACAGCCAGTCAATAAGTATACCTGTTATCCTCTCCATTTCCTGTAAAGCCTGCAGTCTATCAATAGCATCTTGTGTGCGAAGACCAAACTGACAAGCTAGTTCTTCCAATAACACTACCTTGGTTTCCTTTAAAGGACAATGTACATCATTGAAAATAACAAATTAGTACCTATTAGCTACGGATGCCAACCTTAAACAAATGCAACTTGTTTCTCATCAAGTGCTGCAAAGTTGAGTTTTACAAGCATGTGGAAAGTTACCTTAATGTAGGTAATGAACTCCTCTAGGAGAGCTTCCGACTAAAATAAATCAGATAAATGCAAATTAGTACTTATAATGAAACTCAGAAAATCATCAACACTGGAAAGAATGTTTTAATGTGTTACAAGGAAAACTATACTGCAAGCAACAATGGTAATTAGCTTGTGTTTCTGTCGCTTCCTCGCATGTCCTGATCTTAGCTGTGATTGGTCATAACACAATTATTAACACTTTTGAAATATTTCAGGTAATTTCTTAATTTGACAATAAAACTAGCTACGGAAAATGAAGTTGTAGTGAAAAACACATGTACACTCTTATTTTTTTAAGCTGTATCTAGAAAGTATAAAAAAACATGACAAAACCTTACTTCTTCAGCAGTCTCGCCAACACCTTCTTCTTCAACCGTAAACTGTTCTTTTAATAGTAGATATTCTTCATGCTCTTTACGCTCCTGTTCCTCCTTTCTTTTGCGTTCCTCCTCTTCCTAAAATACGAAATTTGACATCTATAGAGACACCAGATCACAAGAGGTCTTTGATTTCGCCAACCAAAAAAATTTTAGGTCATGGGACTGAATTACATGCCTGGGTCTGATTCTCTGGTTTCCCTCAAAATCCAACAACTCCACATTCCAATTAAATTTAAAATAATATTATAGTAGATAAAGAACCCCTCTGTGGCGCTGTTACCAGTAAAAGACTTTATTTGCTATTTTTTTGTTATAATTATCTATTTATTTGGAACTTAACTTGACTGTGAAACCAATGCAAGAATCCAAGAAAAGCAATTTTCAAAAATTGTGTTTCACATGTACATTGTTAAATTTAGTATTTTTCTGTAATTTCCATGAATTTACAGTTAATTTTACCAAATGCAAAAGACTATGTACTTACAAGTCTTTCTTGTTCCTTCTTTCTCTGTGCCTCCAGTCTCTTTCTTTCTTCTTCTCTGAGGGCCTCACGCTCTTTTCTGTCTTCTCGTTCAGCCTCCATTTGCTAGAGAAAGGATACCACCAATATGAGTTTCAGAAGAGACGAGTTGACTTTGGCAGGGTTAGTTAAATTCTTCTGCATTCCACCGGGATGATCCAAATCAGGATCACTGATCTGAGATTACTTGGATCAAAGCACATCAAAAGATCTGTTAAATAGACACTGGGAAAGGATAACTACTGTTCATTTGATGTACCAAGATCCAAGTGATTCTTGGATCTCTGATCAGATCAACCCAAATGAACCGATCCTTAGCAGTGCAGCAGTCTGCAGCCTGGTCTTAAATAAACTGAGATAGAAGGCGCTTCTTTTGCTCTGCAAACAGTGAGACCTTTGTATGGTTCAGAAAAACACAAAGAAACGGCTATCCACTCTCAAGCATGGGATATAAAATCCTCCTGAGTTTGTTCTTAAGGCTAAATAATAAGGCTAAATTGTGTTACTTTTTTATTTACATCTGTATACATTTGAAGACTTTGGGCAGTTGAATCTTGCGTCTTTACCCAACACATAAAAGTGTGGCCATATACATGTAGATTAATGGTGTTTAGTCATGTACATTTAGATACAGAAAGACCCTTTAATGTCAATTTGCCACAAAACATTGACACTCTTTTTTATATCTTTGTCACTAATTTGAAAAGTGTGTGCTAAGTATGTCGCACCTCCCTTAAAATCCTCTTCTCCTCCTTCATCTCTAGCTTTCGCTGTTTTTTTGCTCCAATCTTACCAACAGGCATCTGATTATCAAGTCCCATTGAGTAGCCTCCATCGTCACCATCACCTATGACAAGAAATGCCTCCTATCAGTGATAATATTTCAAAATGCCGGTATTTGTTGAGTTAGCACACCAGAAAAATCCCAACAGTGGATTGGTTAATTTAATAATAATATTAAAAAAAGAATAAATAACAATTAAGTGGTAGCACTTCTAAAAGTGGTTCTTTGTCTAACATTCCAGATCAAACTGAAATTTGAAAATGCTGGTTTTGAGGAGAGAGCAAAAACAGAGTATCCAAAGAAAAACCTCTTTAAGGCAAGGTAAAGACCAACAACAATGTCAAACCACATGTGGTGTTGCCCCCGGGGTTCAAGCACAAGCCACATTGGAGAGAGGTATTCACCCCTGCGCCACTTTTGGACCTCTAACTGTTGAAGTCCAAAGAGTAATCCATGTCAATTTTCTCCCGATACATAATCAAGAGAGAGGGTTGTAAGAATTCCAAAAGAAGATCACCTTATGGAAAATGCATTGATCTTAAACCCAATTCTCTTAACTAATTTTGTAACGAAATGTATGAAGACCAGTCTAGAGAAGTTGTATATAGATATCGGGGCTTAAGGGGCTAATTTGGCCCATAAATTAAATATTTTAATATCATACTATTTTCTTTCAATATCAACAGACCATCATATTCATCATCATCATAATCATCATCATCTTGCGCTCTTCTGGCATTCATTCTTGACCGAGCATTTCTGACTCTTCTCCTTGCTCCGCCCACTTCTCCTGCATTGTCAATCCCTTCTGGCTGCCTAGGTGCACCTAGCATTAATAAAAGATTTTTTATTTTTACTAATTTGATTACATATTCAGAAGGAAGGCTTCACTTTAAAAGTAGCAAAGTGTGAACCGCAGGGATTCCATGGAAATGTTTTTTACTTATTGATATAAAAAGTTGCCAAGGCTACAAGTGTTTTCAGATTCAACCAAAATTTCAAATCTGATTCCAATGTTTAAGTGATGAGACGCTCCTTTCTGTGTTGTTTTTAATCCTGTCTAGTAAAACTGCACTTCAAGATCAATTTGCTTGGACTGATGTTGCCAATGAATTTATTTACAAGAGAAGAAACCAACACACTAACATGGCAAAATTTCTCATCCATTGAGAATGGAATATAATGCAGATACAACGGGAAACAAAAGGAAAGAAAAATAATATTAAATATGTTCCCTCTAACTTCTTCATGACTATTCTATGCTGCCAAACCTGTTTTTAATTCAAACCCCCCAAGGTAAGAAGTACAGATTTTAAACCTTCACAGGATACATTAACTAATTCACACACAGGGCTCCCAAGTTAGATAGATGATTGAGCCAATCATCACCTCTCCTTAGTTCAACATTTGTTGATTACACAACAATGGTTGCGTTGTTGTTTAACAAGTAGCAACTTGTTAAAAAGAAGCCATAATAAAATCTTATTCAACAGTTTTCAACATTTAATGAATGGCCAGTTTCAACATCCAAAATTGACATGATACATGTACAGTACAGTGTTGAAAACAACAAATGAACTGAATAGCATATTTGTTGATCAATAAATTTACTTCCACTCAAATGTTATGGTTTATTATTGTTTTCAATAGTGGCATCTTCTTGTATATTACTTAAATACCACCACTAGAACTTGGTGATGGATAAGAATATTAGTCCTCTGTACGTGCATGACTCATATAAATTTTAATCAAGTACTGTTAAGGACCCACGTTTATTTTGTTAATTGTAATAAAAGTATTTGAAATTGAAACACTGAAATAGTAAATGAAGTATACTACTGTCATATCCGTAGAAAGTTGGTCAATAGAATTTAAGCTTATGAGCTTCTAAAGCTGACGTAGCAATTGATATAATTAAGTTCAAAAGCGGCATTTTCCCTTCCCTCGAAACATTATCTCCCAAGGATAATGAAACACTTACCCTTCTTCTTCTTCTTTTGATTTCTGTTGGCTATAAAAGTAGCAATAAGCAAAGCAGTTCCCACAATCGCGGCTATAATAAGCCAAATTACAGCTGGATGCATTGCCGCCATCTTGATTGTCTTTCTGTTTAAAAAGCCGCGAAAAACTGGGTAATAAAGCAAAACCCGTCCCATTCCTCCTCAGTCCATTACTTGGGAATGAGCGCAAGATTAAAAAGGGCGCAAGGAGGGGCGGGGGGCCGGGATGGGAGGTCGCTAGTGCCAAGTGCTGACAATTACCAAGGCCGCGAAGCGGCGAGGTAAATATCCACCTACCACTAGCCACCTCCCCTTCGGTGAATAATTGTTTTAGTATACACTAAAACAGTGAGATAATTGAGCACAAACATGATGATTTTGTAACTCTTTTACTGTTGCCAACGATTATAATTTTGGCGCGCAATGACCGAACGGCCGCGGTCGTCGCTCTTTCTTGCCGACAAATAAAAACTTTTGAAGGCACTTGTTTAGCTCTTGCCGGGAAAATTCTTCAAAAGGAGTTATGAATTCTATTTGTATTTAAAATCATTCTGTAAGTTTTAAGCTTATTTATGAACAAGTCAACTAAATAAAGTAACGAAAGTCTTAAGCTTAATTTGCATTTGTGAACAAAAAACTTTTTCACTTGTTTTATCGATAAATTCAAGTGAAAAAGACAAAGCTCTACCTGTTAAAACTTACAAACCGAACTTCGTCACCTTCTTCGTGTATTTCGGGAACAGCTTGCTTGATTAGTCGCGAAAGTTCTTTGTTTGTTACGGCAGAAAACCGGGAGGGGTTTGCTCGCAACTTACGCGAGGTTGGCGTCGTTCACTCGGAGGACCTGGAGGTGGATCAGTGAATAGTCCCCATTTTTCCTCAGCGAGAGTACAGCGAGCGAAACGCGAGCGCGCGTGAAAATTACCCCACGCGAGAAAAGGCCCGCCGCGTGTCGCCTTTTCTCGCGTGGGGTGATTTTCACGCTCGCTCGCGTTTCGCTCGCTCTACTATCCCTGAGGAAAAATGGGGACTTCTCGTAGTCTACATAGCTTTCGGGCCATACAGCTGACTGCATGTACTAAACCAACCAAAACCCGAAAAAGTAAATGAATAAAACTGAACAAAGAAACCATTTCATATATTTTGCATATTAGGGGCAATGATGTCTGTTTGCCGTTTTTATCTTACCTATTGCGGGTATTTCAGGGTATTCCGGGATTTAGTACATGCTGGCGACTGCATTCATATATCACGAAATTCAAGCTTAACATGTCAGGATGAGTTACGTCGCTATCAAAAGATATAATTCTTTATTATTCAAAATATAAGGTATACATAACGCAAAATATCAAAAGTATCAAATACTCTCTCTTGAATTATAGGAAACGGGACTCGGACGAATGAAAGGCGGGAAACGCTGTTAAGAAGGCCTCGATTCTGAGTATGCTACTTAAGAAGGCTGGAAACAGTTTCTAAAATCATGCTTTCTCCACCTCAGTCCAAGTCTTAGTTTTTCAAAGGTAAATAGTGCCACCCAGCGGATAAATCAATATCCAGAGAAGAGATAGTAGGGAACAACCAATCGCATTAGACTTAGCCGGTGGATGACGGCGGCGCTATCCAACTTTTTAACAACATGGACCGTCTCAAAGAAGAACAACAATTTTGACGCCCCTTCCCCGTCACACATCAAGGCCTAGTGATAAATGTTAACTCTATCTTGAGTAATAATCATAGAAAATATACAATAATTTCCACCCAACAACAAGCGTTTCGTCAGATTCAAAGCATAGTTAACTTAAATATTAATTGCATTATTACTAAAATATGCTATGTACAATACTGCTAAATAACCGTTGATATTTCATAGCACAATTAACCCATCCACCCTGTACAAATCTCTACAACGTACCAAATGACCTCGCAATATTAAGAAAGACTGCATTTCATTATGGCAAACTGCGCTTATCTAGAGCGTCCCTTTAATAAGGCTCATTCAAAAATACTTTAATACTTGTTTAGTTTCCCCTTCTACCTACAGTCTCGGACAAAAATAGTTGGGACACTTTTTAACGCAAACGCCTTTTTTTCCCTTCTCGTGCTTCCCTTTTCCCTCCCAATGTTGTTTACTGCGATTCAGTCACCAAATCGTGTACACCAACACTGAGGGGACGAGAAGACACAAAAATGTCCCAACAATTTTCACTGAGACTGTAGGTACTTAATATTGAATATATGCTATCTTACAAAATACTAAAGCACAGTTAGAGTGATACAAAAATACAACTCTGATGTGAAAATAAGGTTTCTTCAACATACTTAAAAACTTATTCTTTAAAGATTAGAGTGGTCATTACCACTTTGGTTTATATTTTTCTAAAAATCTAAACTCTACACGAAAAAATCGATGCAGTACTAATGCGATTTCAGAGACAAACGAGTCCTAATACAGATTCGCTCAGTCACAGACTGTTTTACTGTCAATTACGTTTAACAAAAAGATAATAGAGACATTTAGATTCACGAACGAGGACGAGATCTGACTTAAAGTTTTTCCCGTGTATTCTCAAAAGATATACACCCCAGAAAACTTCATTATACTCATTTTTCACCAGAAAAGTTAGCACGGTTATTGAAGGAGGTTTTGTTCTCTCCCGATCACAGAATGATAAAACTTCTAACTTTTGATAATTTCTCTGCCTTCCAACCACTTGGAAGCTTGGCCTTGATAAGTATGGCATGGAGTGAAACTACAATCCTGGTCAAAACGTTTAGGACACTTTGTGTTTCTGGTGAGAAAAATGCAATTCAAGTTGATTCCCTCCCCCACCCCCTCCCTAACAGTGTTGGGTGTTACAAGTCAAACATCTTTTACATACCTTGCACACGTTAAGGATCTCAACTTTGTTGGAGGGGGAGGGGGGGAAAATCTTGTTAAGGTCGTGTTTATGAGCATGTATCGCCGGTTAGCTGCAAATTTTATACAAAATCACGTGAAAAAGAGGAGGTGCCCAAAAACCTTTTGGCCGGGATTGTAGTTTGAATTCTCTTAGACAAAAAAATTCAGTAATTAAGCTATACAAAAATATAGGCGCTTTCCAACGAGTGAAAACGCGAAGCACTAGATGCAGTGAACCTATAATTAACTGGACCAAACCACCCAAAATAATTCTTGATCATTCAATTCCCAGTCAAAGAATAATTGAGGGCTAGTTTGCATATCGGCCATCACAGGCTCTGGGAAGGAAGCCTCAAGCTAGCGTACAACTTACTGGGCGACAGTGATCTTACTATTCCCACACCTCATCAGCGTGATATGAGTATTGATGGTTACTTCCTTGGACAAGCAGCTGTCAGAGTTGTAGAGCCTCCTGTCTTGAGATCAACTTGGTGTTGGCTGTAGTAGTCAACCAGTTCCATAATTGTGTCAAATTGCTAGAAAAATATATTTAAAAAATACATCAATCCACAAGACTTACACTTAAGTTTTTATTAGTAAGATCTCAATCGTAAGCAACGTAAGCCAGAGTTCAGGCAACAGATTTAACATAATTCCGACCTGAAAATAATAGAGAAGGGTGACGTCACGTTACCATGGTAGCAAAATTTCTCGATCACAACAATAGCGAGCTTAACCAACATTGACGGCGACGGCAACATCAACGAGAATGACATGGGTTTAAATTAGTAAAACAACAACTCTGTACGTGTATCACGCTTTTGTACATTACTTAGTCGACGCTGAACGACTGCAACATGAAACTTCCTAATTTCACGCGCCCGCTTTAGGGAGTAGGTGAACACAACAAAAAAAATTCCTTTTTCTTTTTCTTAACTTAGATACGGCCCTTTCGGATTCAATTCCAGAAAATTTCACCAATATTTGACAAATGAAATGAAACTGAATAAGATCACTTTTTAAGTGAAGTTTTCGGTTTGTTGTCATCAAGAATATTTGCTACCATGGCAACGTGACGTAACGAATTCTCCTCTCTATTAGACAACTCATTTTATGAGATTGCGTTGTTATGCGCATGAGTTTCTTATTCTAAAAAAGACAAAGGAAGTAACCTCCTGAGGATATTAACTGGTGTACAATAGGTAGCATTTAGAGCGACAACCAGAGCTTGGCAGCGTTTTAACACGAAAACCGAAATCTGAACGGTTGGTTGGTCAGTGAGTCACTCAATCAGTCAATCATAAGTCATTCATTCAGTTGGGCACGACTGGTAGGCAACAAGTTTCTCGCTAACAAGACTCTTAAGTAAAATCGGTCTTTTAGTCAGTCAGTTGTCCAGTATTTCAGTCAATCATATATCCACCGACAGTTTTGTTTTCTTTACTAATGAAAAAAAATAAACAAAGTAAAACGTTACCACTTTCCCACTGTCTCCAAGTACAAATTTTTCCTTGGTTCGTGGTATTCTGTAACGTGAGAAGAATTAAAAATGATGCAATAGCAAAGGATTTAAATCTTTGTGAACAGCAGAGCAAAAGAGGTATACCAGGGTGGGAGAAAATCGCGGTTTCTCGCCCTACTCTCCCTGACGAAAACAAAAGACTTCCCGTAGTCTAAATCCCGATACACACGAGGGGTTCTGCTCCCGGAGCATGCTCCAGGCTCATTTTGCATGTGTCAGTACACACGAGGGAGCGTTTTCAAGTTAGCTCAATTTGCGTCGGGAGCTTGCTCTCAAATATTTAACCGGTTAAATATCGTGGAGCATTTTGTGGGTAGAAATTCTGCTCCCGAGCATGAAGTATACCTATGAAATCGTTGGTATACACGAAGGAGCTTTGCTTCCGGAGCGTGCCCCTGGAGCGTGCTCCGAGAGCAAAATCCCTCGTGTGTATCGGCCTTAAAGCTCATACGGACTTACCACCATCTCATTGACAAAGCATGATTTTATGTTGAAGAAGTGAAGCTCGTAGCTAAGGATAAATCCCAATTCTAGTCAGTCCACAAGTCCTCCAACGCAATGAAGTGGTTTCGCGCTACCCGCAATGACCCAAGCCACGCCTAAGACATAGTCTGTAAGGTGTCACTTCACTATAATCATTACAAAAGCTCTCGTTGCTTGAGTAACTGTAACCAACATGGTTT